TGTGTACCATTGGGGAGCGATCAATTTTTAGTTCTGCACAGTACAAGAATCTCTTCCACAATATCTGGATTAATTACCTGAACTCAATCTTTCTATCTTAATAATACTAGGAGCTCACTCACCATGTTACAAAGCAGCTCCTTCCATTTTTAAAGGGATAAACCTCCCTCACTGGTCCTAGCTTCCATAAAACGAAGTCCCACCTCCATGCGACTTCTAACATGTGAAGACAAATTGTGGTCCTGCTACTCCCTCCCTGTCATGGAATTTTTAGTCGATGCCTCCATGTATTGCAGATCGATCCTGCATGGTCTCCATCCAACATCATAGTCCACTAAGTCCTCTTCTCTGGCTGATAACAGTGTCCAGGAGCTTGGCTGTGTTAGACTTTCAGCTCTGCTATTACCCCACACCCAACATTGCCGTGAGGCTGATTGTATGGAATATTCTAGAGAGCCCATCACTTTGCTGTTGGCTGACCACTGAACTTGGGATGATAGAAATTGCATAAGGAACAGTGGTGAGCCCTGGACTCAGAAAAGTGGTGGAACAAGCCCAGTGTTTGTGGTTAGACTGGGACAGAGCACCAGATTCTATCAGCACCTTGAAGGTCAATCATGCTGTCTGTGGCAGGAGGAGCCCATGAGATTGACAATAGGTAAACACCAGAAAAGCGAGCGGATTAATTTACAATGAACAATCATTGGCTGCTTTAGGGTCCAGAAATGGTTCAGGTTCAACACAATTGTTTCCTCTTCTTTCACACAAAAAAATGTCATGGAATTCTTACTCAATGCCCCCATGCATTGCAGAGCAATACTGCCTGACCTTCATCCATCAGCATGAGAGTCCACTAAATCACCTTCTTCATGTGGGAATAAGTGGCCTCCACAGTTACTTCAGGGATCCTCTTGCACACAGGCAGAAATAATAGAGATCCAAGTGGGAATAAGCTTGATCTACCAAGATCAAGTTAGACTAAACATCTTCTTGACAAAGAATGACGGGGAACCCTCAAAGTCTCTAGAACACAGCCTATGGTTAAACTCAGCCCTGCAGGTTAAGACCATATAAAATGAGATAAATCAGGATTTCTGATCTCTGGGCTTTTTGTTGTTGTTGCTCTGCTGTTGAGACAATAACCAGAGAGAAAACTGTAAAAATGCTTAAAAGCATGCAAATAAACCATTGATATAAATGGTACAGGAGTTTAAAATGGATTCAATTAAGAGGGCAAGACATGGAGGTCAGAGGGTATGACCTAAGATGAACTTTGAAAAATGAATAGCATTAAGTGGGGGAGGGGGAATGAGCCAAAAAAAAAAAGGGCTTTCTAAGCAGAACTGATTAAAACAGAACATATGGAAGAAAAACCCATTGGTGGGGTCAATGGGGACATATTTAAGGAAGCATTGTCTAGGGTGAACTTATATAGAGAAGCTTAGGGAAGACCAGCCAAGAGGGATTGGGAGAAAACCTGCAGATGAGATGAGAGAATGTGAAGTGTTTCTCTGGAACCCAGAGAGGAAGTAGGATTACCCTTTGAAGGCAGAAAATGACAAAATTTGGTAAGATAAAGTATTACTTTACAAAGTAGTTGGAAACATTATAGGACTTCTTAATCTTAAAAGATGGACTATATTTTTGTTGTTTCAAAAGGCAGGAATACAAATTTGTAGTTTATACCTACTTGATGGGTTACTAAGAGAAGCCAGGGGTGTGTGGGTCCCCTGACTGGTATTAGCATCTCAAAGGACAGCAACATCTTTTCATAAATCATTCCTGAACGTTACTATCCAATGACAAGACCCAATGAAGCCATTTTTCCAATTGCATGTCTTAAACAGGATTCTACAGATTGCATTTTCTGAACAGAAACGTTTTCTAACAGCTTGGTTTCCCCAGAAGAACACCTGATCCTTTGTCCAGTTTTCTCTGAAGCAATTTGTGTTAGGAACCTTGCTTTCTCTATTACCTTGTTTACCCATGACACTTTCTGTGCTGTACATTTCTACATATTCCACCAGCACTTGAAAAGTATTAAACAACAGATTTTGAGGTAAGCCTAAAGAAGAGCCTTCTGGTTTATGATATGTTGGTTAAAAATAAGTGCACTATTAATATGCCGTTTGGATAGATGATTTATTTTGGTATCACGCACCCCATCCTGGTATTTCAATGTTAGTTACTTGCTTTCTCTTCCAGCACCACAGAGAGCCTAAGAGCTGTGTGTCACTGATAACAGGTTTCCCTATCACTCCCATGTTTCTATTCCACAGAAAGAGAAGTTTCTACTTTTCAAATTATTTATTTTATAAAGTTAGAGGGCTTTTATGGGAGAGAGAATATGTCTCTTACCACTTTTATGTTAAAAATATTTAAATTACATTAGAATTGCAAAGCACAATTTTTATTCCTTTCTTCTAGTAGAGAAACAATGGAAACCCTGGGGTCCTTAATATTATATTTAACTGGCTCTGCATTTAAATTTTTTCAAAAGTGCAAAGAGATAGCTTGGTGCATATGACTGAGACTGGCGGGGAAGCACATTGGCACAGTGTCTTTGGTCACTGTGGCTTAAGGATTAAGGAAATGCCAAAGAGGTTTTCAGGGAAAGCACATTTGTCTTTATACCTGGAGTAGCCACAAGAAGGTAGAGCACAGACAAAATAGCCTTGAGGCCCGAATTTCAACTGAATGGTCTAACTTGCTGTGTGTCCTTAATACATAGGAAGTTGTTTCTCTGAAAGGTGTTGTTCCCTGGTTTTTTTTTTTTAACCCATAGATTCAAAATGATATCAGGGAAGAGGTTGAAGGAACAGAGCTCAGCAAAAGCCTCCAGCTTAGCTGCTTTGGGAGCTACAAAGGTGTTGGTGTTTTGAAGCTTTGAACCCTCAAAGGGGTTCATGTCTCTGTGGGCCGCCCTGCGCTTAGCACAGATAATCAAGTACTGGCTGAAATAACCCTATGGTAATATGGTGGAGAAGCCCCCACATCTCTCCTAGTGAGTGTCCCTTAAAGAGCAATGGAGACAGAATACTCAGTTGATGATGGTTCTGACATGGATTTTAATGTTCTAAAAATAATTAAATTGAGCATATTATAAAGTTGAAAACTTACACATAGAAATTAATATTTCTTTCTTTTTTAAAATCTTTTTCTTTCCTTTGTCTCTTTATCTTATCTTTCTTTCTTTTTTCTTTTTTCTAGCGTTGAGGAGACATGATGGGGATCTCAAATAAATTGTACTTTAGACCTATAGGAACCTTAGTAGATATATTTTTTTTCAAACCCTCCCATCATAGACCAGCCCTGTGATATAGTCAAAAAACCTGGAACAAACAGCTCTACATTTAAACTAAATTCCACCACAACTAGGTGCATGCCCTGGGTGAATGCGCGACCTTTTGGAACTCCAGTGTTCTCCTGACCAGGGAGAGAATTCAGCTCCAGCCTCTCAGTGCCAGGATCCTTGTGTGCTGGAGTATCCTCCGGGCACCTTCCTGTTTGCATCCATAATCCTCCCCAGGTGTTTCTCTGCAGATCACCTGACCTTTTCTCTGGCATTGTCTGTGCCCTTGTGATGCCAAAGGATAGCAAATCAAGTCCTGGCAAGCGCCCTGCAATTTAGTTCTTCCCACTGCACACCAATAAATATTCTGATCCTCCAAGAGGATGAAATTAAATGACAACAGACCAGGTACCCTTTCTGGTATCCCATCCTCCAAGTAGCCAAACTGCATCTTTGCAATCTCAATCCAGTGTCAAAGAAGGCCTCCCCTAGCTCTATGGCCTTATAGAGGATGGTCCCTTCAGAGCACCTGTCACAATTTGCCATCAAGAACTCGTGACCGGGGCTGTGGTTATAGCTTAGTGGTAGAGAGCTTGCTTAGCCTGTGTGAGGCCCTGGGTTCGATCCTCAGCACCACATAAAAACAAATATATAAAATAAAGGTATGTGTTCACCTACTACTGAAAAAATTTAAAAAATGAAAAGAACTCGTGATCCCACTTGGCTCTGTCCTTCCTCCCACTATACTGTCCCCCTCATCACTGCGCCACTCAGGCTCCCCTTGGGTCCTGGCTCAGGGTGAGTCCTCAATAAAAGGGCCCTGTTAGGTGAAGGAATGGATTCCACCTTCTGGTGAATGCTCGAAAACATCCAACATTTACCAAGAGCAGGGTATATGTCAGGTTCGGAACTAGGCACAGCACCTAACTTAGCCTATTTATCTCTTAAAACAATTCCCTGAAGAAGGTATAAGTCTGATCTTATAGGCAAGAAATGGAAGCTAATGAAGCTCCAAGAAGGGACATCCAAGGCGGCTCCAGGAGTCAGGGAAGGCTTTTCAAAGGGGCTGAGTATGATGGCAAATGCACACACACATACACACACACACACACACACACACTATATATATATAATATCTTTACTGAGATTGAGATTGACAAGTTGCCAGATAAGGTCCACAATTAAATTTGCTTTAAGCAGGACTTGGAAGGAATTAAACAAGGTGTCATCCTACTCAGCATCTTTTAAATATATAATATATAATATA